GGATGAATACTTCATTTCTTCAGCTGTTAAAATAGAGGAAATAAATGTGATCAATATAATTTATTTTTGGGCTACCTTGCGGAGACGATTCTCTAAAAAAGAGTGTGAAATTTCAATTGGGTTTAACTCGACTCTGATGTGGAGGATATTCCCTATAACAAGCGGAAGTAAGTTAATCTCAACACAAGTGTTATACCGCCCGAATGGATCGACTAAAATGTCAACTGAACAAAGCCTTCACCTCAAGTTTTCTAACATACAAAATCTAGAATCCCTTCCATTTCCGACGCGACTGTGTTTGTGTAATCCTACATGGATTATCTTACTTTCAAGTAGTCCAGGCAAATATTATGGACCAAAAAATTTGGTGTTTCTCCAAAATCACTGTGAACTAAAAAGAAGGAGATATAACCTAAAAAATATTTTTACTCCATAGTGAAATCAAATAAATTGCCAAAATGAATATTTATAAGAAGTGTACGGTTTAAATGGCAGAGAGCTAGCGAAGAGCGTTTAAACTTAATTTCAATTCTTGGCTTTTGTCGAGAAAACAATCAGGAAAATTGTTTTGCGAATTCCTCGACATCGACTGCTGAGCTGTTCACCTTGGCCATTGAGTTATTACCTCCGGACTCAAGTTAGTGTATGCTATCAGTGTGTGATAATATTGTATTGGTGAAGGTCGATTTCCTACTGGAGTTTTTCAGCCAAACAGCTAATGGATGTATAATAATCACTTTGAACTTGAACTTATCGAGCCACCCAACAAAAATGGATACTTGGGCTCGTTCCACGAAATGTTGAGCAACTGGGTCAGTTTAAACACCAGAAAACTGCATGTATGCGGCGAAGAAGTCGGTTTTTTTTTTCTATTTCATTCTCGTCATTACAAAGAACATGAATCTACTTTTCACATGAAACGTGATTTCTTTACCCAATTTCTTGATCGATCAAATTGGGAAAATCATTGATCACATTATACGTTTGATTTCCGAACCACTTCTGGTCTGTTGTCACTTGTTCGATGTATTGATCTCAAAGTTTTTCGTCTGTCTCTCATAAACTATAATACATTTTTATTCCACAGTGCTCTTGTTAATCATTACATTGCGAAATTGGCTACTCTGATTAAAGGAGCTGTCTTTACTGGCTGACGCTGTGAAAGACTGCTAGTATTCCTGTCCATCAGGACTGATCATTGAGCCGTGCTTCAGACTATTCATGCCATCAAAGCATTCTGTACTCCTTTGGCTGTTGTAAACGAGCTAACTTTAAATTAAGTATTATACAACAAAATTTTGAGTTTGATAATTGACACCCTTTCAATTTTACTTATTTGTTTTGCAATTTATTCAGTAGAGTGAACTTGGCCTTTGTGTATTGCAAAATCAGGAAAATAGTTTGGGGAATTTTCCGGCGTCAGCTGCTGAGTAAATAATCTAGGCCCACTGATTTTGACCACTGACTCATGTTAGTGTATACTGTGTACAGATATTAATGGAACTGATCCTTTACAAGGGGTGCCTCTAGATACGGTGAAGGTCGCTTTCCTTGTGAAGGGTTTCTCAGCCAAACATTCAAAGGATGCACATGATCACCTTAAACTTGAAATTGTCAAACTTAAACAATAGATATTTCTGTTTAACTCACAAAATGCTGAGCAACGAGTTTAAAAAATAAATAAATAAATGGGGAAAATTATGCGACGAAGAAGGCCTGGAGTTTCAATTAACGTCCACATTCGTCCCCTTCATTCTCGTCATTACGGAAGACCTGTCTACCTTTTGTATGAAACATGGTTTGAGCTATCTATTTCCCCGTGGAGCATATAAATTCTTATTTATTGGACAACTGATACTTTGTGGTTCCTTATCATTCACGATGTTTGCACATTAACTCGATAGAACGTTTTATTTGTTACCAGAAAAAGGGACGGTATTTTAAGCTAATGTACTCAGTTGTGGAAGATATAGGGACCTGATTACAATAAGTGAAGTGCTTATTAGGGTCAGTCGATGCTAAATCTCAGTGAAATCGTTTCAAAACTAGAAGTTTCAACTTTTTAAGTTTAAACTTTGATGATATATAGGTTTGAGTCGTCCTGAACGGGAATTGTCTGTCCATTTCTCTGAAGACTCTGTACACAGTCCGTTTCCTTACTAATTTTCGCGGTTAAACCAGAAAGTAAAAGGATTGTCGCTCAACGCTGATAAAGCGTCAATTGTGCTTTGATTTTTTTTAAGTAACACGGAAGGAATTTTTCTTCTAAAGGGGACTTTGATCAAGGCCAGTAGCACACATTAGGTGAACAAAAGACGTATGGCTCAAGTGTGCATCCATTTCAATTAAGCATGCAATAACAAAATGGGTTAAAAGGGCGCGTATTATTTATTTGCTTCAGACTAAACGTGATACTACCGTTTACAGCAACTATCTACACTAGGCCATAAACATCTTTGAACTGTACAGCTACAGCTGGTTATAAACAGGTTTCCTCGTGTTATTGATCGGGTTTTCGTCGTTACATTCATTGGCTTTAAATTTGGCAATTGACATAGTCTGAGCCATGAATCGAAATAACAAAAAAGAAGAGCATGCAAAACAAAGTAAGAAAAAGGGTTTGGTGAAAAGAATCATCATGTAGTCGTCATAACCGTAGTCGTCAATGATGGTTTCTGCTACTCGTCCTACTCGAGTAATTCTGCTGGTGCCTTCGAAAGGCAGTGACTGTTTGGCAATTAAAGTGCAATTTGGAAGCTAAAAATTTGGGAAGCCTTCCTTTAATTCCCTATTGGGGTGAGAAATTTAGAATATTAGTAGTAATGGACTGGAACGCATCTTTTAATCTCGGGCGGCTTCTTCCCCCTTATGGCCTTATAAATGTTCTGTCAGCAGGAGAAAAATGAAATCTCGATTCAGTCACTTGATGATTTGCGCGCACGAACGACACTTGAAATTTAAAATATGTTTTTAATCATAAAGCACCAAAACATAAAGGCCTTCAGAGATGTGAGGTGCACGTACTAATCAATGCTTTAGATTTAATAGAAGCTGATACTCCATTAATAATGTTTTGCTCTCTGTATTCTTTTGTTTGGATAATTTTGCACTCGGGCTATCAACGAAAAAGTTGCAAAAGTTTTATCTTTCTGTTTAGACATGCAAATCTAAAAAAACATATCGAATTTCATTTGAATTGGCATAGGTTTGCAAATGTCACTACTGAAGTGATTTAAGGACCCTTCATAGTTGCCCTCAGTCCGCTCGGATTTAGTTTCGATAATTATAGTTAGTCATGGAGTATTTGTGAAATCTTTCTCCGATAAAAAAAAAAACAACAGAAATTAATGAAAATACAAATAACATCATTCTTCCATCTCACGTAAAAAGAAAATCGTGTGATCAAATCCTGAAACACGAAAAAGAGTGTTTTATCTAATATCCAACAGTTATCGAAAAGTGGCTGTGTAAAGTAACGGGTTGCTGTTCTTTTTGTTTTGTTTTGTTTTTCCTAATTTCGTTTCGAACGCTCTTCGGGTATCTCAATTCAGGATAAAACACTGTAGAAAGTTTTATTTAATGATCGCATTATAATAACCGTCCATCGCGCCTTAATGATGTAGTGTGTTCTCGCATTATGAATTATTACTGAATTTGAAAGTGCTGCTTCTCAAATGTAAAAATGATTTCTAAAAATCAAGCAAAAGGTTTTTGGTTTGAATTTCTTTGAGAATAACTTAGCATTTGAGAAGTTATTCGCATCGAACTCTCCACTCGGTGTTTCATCTGATTTCACAAAACTTCGATTGACCTTGTTTTTCTACCCCACTTCTCTCTCGATATCGACTGAAAATGTTGCTTTCTTTTTTGATATTTTACATCAAATCACCTGAAAATACCTACTGCTTTATGTATTGCATATGTTAGGTTCATCTGTAGATTGTTTGTTCCAGTCAAGCATTGAATTTCAGCTATCTTTG